GCCGGCGCAGGGTAGCAGGAAGCTCTCCGCACACTCACCGGACCTGGGCTAGGACTGGGTCTGGGGGCTCCCGGAACTCGGCAGAAAATCCTACTCGGTGGGCGGTGTGGGGGAGGCACTGCGGAATGGTGGGGGGCGGCCCAAGGGGCTGGGAGAGGGTCCGGCCCACGCTGCGCCTGGGCTGGGACTGGTCCCGCCGGCGCAGGGTAGCAGGAAGCTCTGAATCAGTGTATATTGACTAAAATTTTTATTAGCCAAAGATTAATCGTAAAGTTTGTGAAAATTGATAACACAAGAGGGCCAGTTGTACCTATAAGACATAAATATATAAAGAAAATATATTAATGCTATATTTTGACCTCATAGTTTCTTCTGTACTTGAAAAATTTCAGTGTTTCCCCAATTTCATTATCTCAGTTATTCAAGCTTATTTTTCATATGCATATGACTCAAAGAGGAATTGCCAAAATTGGAACTAGGATCTCTCTATACCTTCCCATTGTAAATCAAATGCAGTATTTATTTTGTTCTGCTGATATCCTAGAAGTCAGGACTCCATTTTCCTATTCTGGAAGTACCCTGGGTTGGGGAGATAGCTCAGCAGCATACATGCCTGCCTGGCAGATGCGAGGTTGTGAGTTCAATTCCTGGTTAACAAAAAAAAATTAGAAGTACCATATCACTCCTAGTCAGAGTACCTTCTTATCCCCAACATTTATATATTTCTTTCCACTGTTTGCAAGCCTGTCTGTTCTGATGACCTATCTTTAATAATTTGAATATCATATGTATGTATATATATATATATATATATATATATATATACCTACTTAGGACTGAGTTCTCAAAATTTTTAGATTCCAGGGAATAACTCTATTTTGAAGATTAATGACATAACCACTGTGGAAATCAGTATGAAGATTACTCACAAAACTAAGATTGACCTAGCTATTCCCCTTCTTGGTATCTTCCCAGAAGAATTAAAATGTTATTCCACTGCAATATGTGTGTACTCCTGTTTATTGAAGCACAATTTGTAATAGCTGAGTCTTGGGAACAATCCAAATGCCCTCAACTGCGGAATGGATAAAAATGTTTTGGTGTTTTCACGTAATATTACTAAGCTATAAATAAGGATAAACTTCAGACGTTTATTGGTAAGTGAATGGGACTTGAGACCATATTCACAGGTGAAATAAATCAGACTCACATGTGTAAACATCACGTTGTCTCCCTGGTGTGGGTAACTGAAGGAATAAAGACCAAAATGTACGATAGATATTGTGAAATGATAAGAAATTTTTCAAAAGAAAAGAAGAACTGAGGTGGGGGTGGGGGAAAGGAAGGAAAAGGAAAAATTGGTAGGAAGGATAAAATGGAAACAAAGCTCTAAATAACGAGAGGAAGAGGGACTGGAAGGAGGAGGGGATTGGGAAAAAAACAGGAACAGAAATATATCATCTACAGGTACAAATTTCCTATGATGAATGTGATCATTATTTGTATCTAAAACATACCAAAAAAACTTATCTAAAGAAGATTTATTGCAAAACATAAACATTAGTCAAGTGACTTACTGAGTTTAGTAAAAGATAAAACTGCAGAATAACTGAATAAACATTGAATATTCACCATTGTTTAAAATTGGTCCAAAAAAGCAGCTGTTTTCTATATGTAAGCCTGCATTTCAACTTCATTATGTTTTACTCACATTATATGGTGACAGATACATTTCCTTGTCACCACAGTTTTTTAATTATATTGTAATGATTACATATTACACTACTTTATGAAATTATGAAACCATCACTTTTTTAAACTATGAGATTATCACTTCAAGATGAAATCTAGAGACAGATCTGGTGGTGCACACCTGTAATCTCAGCTCTCAGGAGCTGAAGCAGGAAGATCTGCCTGAGTTTGAGGCCAACCTGAGCTATATAGCAATTGCAAGTGCAGCTCAAACTACATAGCAAGGCCTTGTCTCAAAAATAAATAAATAAAATTAAAAAGAAAAATAAATTTAAAAGTAGTACCATAACGTGCTTGGCAAACCTCACTATTTGAACTTATATAATATAAACCACTAACATACTATCTAGTTTTTCCAGGTTATTATTATTTTAATGATCTATGCTCTTGAAAATATTATAATCCTAAGGTGTGAAGTAACAGAGTTCTGTTTATAAAATGTGAAAATGTACCTTGAAGGTATAAATTGCATTCTGAATAAATGCCAAATGATTTTGATTTGTTTAACATAAAATTTAATTTGCTCCTTAGGTATTTCTATATATTGCTTTTGTAATAGATTGGAAAAGAGAGCAACCTTGGAAAAAACAGAACACAGTGAATTTAGAAGACAGTAAAAGAAATCCTACTTGTTGCCATTGTGTTAGGACTTAAGATCCAGTAATAGCAGTTCAGAAAGTGCTACTTGGAGCTGGCGAGATAGCTCAGTGGACTAAAGAGCCTGCTCAGGCAAGCTTAGGCAAGCTCAGAGACCACAGTTCGATCCCTGGCACCACAGGCCACGCCTGCCCCACCCCAGGGTGGGCTGACCCAGCATATGCTTATAATCCCAGTGCTGGGGAGGTTGAATATAGGAGGGTCTGAGCTGCATAGTGAGAGCCTTCAACAATCAAATACATTTTAAAAAAAAATGCCACTTGAGTGCTTCTGTTACCCTAACGGTTTGAGACTCTAATTGCCACCAATGCTTTAGTCCAGAAAGTGGTGCGCTTTTGTCTGAAGGTTGAATCCCAATCAACAAAGTTTATTCCAGCAAAATTTTATTGCACCAAAGCATAACACATTTTGCCAAGCCTGGTCATGCCAACGCAGATCATTTAGTGTATAATTGGCTACGACTGGCACTCAGACAAGCTGTGACATTTCTTGTCAGCAACTGGTTACTCCTTGGAAAGTCAAGGAAACAATTACATGCTGCAAAGGATGAACTGGTATGGTAAGAAATGAAACATAAAACACGTCAGCCCTTCCCCCCGCAAACAGGTGTGAGGGAAATTGTAATACCTGATGTCCTTTTCTACCCAGTCCAGGAAGTCAATAAAAAAAGTACTGACTTGTGAAATAAAAAATGAAGTCTGTTGAGAGAAGGCAAATGAAATAAAGATAACATTGATTTAAAAGATAACATTAATAAGATCCAGAGACCACCTGATATTAAGGGAAGGTGAGTTATCGTTTTGGCATCTTTTGAAAAGGTTATCATTCTGTTGATAAGTTCTTCAAAAAGGAAATAGACTAGGACCATATGAGAAAACACAAGCTAAATCCAAAACTATGATATCAAAAGACTATTTTAAGTGTTTACTTTCTCTAAAAATTAAATGCAAAATAATATAACAAAGATGTGTAATTTTGACTCTCTCAGCGAAGAGTAAAAAGAAATTTAATATTCAGTGTGGGCAAGTGTTTAGATAAACAGTCTCCTACACTACTGATGAAAATAAAATGCTGAGTGGAATGAATGGGTAAAACTTTCTTAAACAGTTCATACTCATGGGCTCAACTTACTGAGAGCCACTTACACACGAATGAAAAACTACACATATGAAGATGTTGCCTGGAGAATAATTTAGGATCAAGAATAATTGGAGTGCTTGCTTCAGCAGCACATATAATAAAATTGGAACGATACAGAGAAGATTAGCATGGCCCTGAGCAAGGATGACACGCAAATCTGTGAAGCACTCCATATTTTTGTTTAGACAAGATATCATGTTTGCATCTTGTACTATGAGTAACTACTATGAAGACAACAATATGAAATGTATTAATTATTGTAACTGTCCTACTAACCTGTTTTGAAACTGTATCATTGCTACTTCTTTCTTAATAAAATTAATGTAAAAAATAAAAATAAATTTAAAAAGAAGAATAATTGGAAACACTAAAAATTCATGAAACTAAGCAAATGGTCATATGCTCATCCCACAAAATACTATATATACATTAGAAAGAATTCAAGACCACCTTATAGAATGTCCAACATATAGTAAATGAAAATGCCTATAATAGTATTGCCATAATAATAACAGCTATAATAAAAGTTAATGCTGTATGACTCCGAATATGTGACATCTGGAAAAGGCTGGAGGAATGGAGAGGGCGAAATGATCAGTGGTTAGCTAGAGTTAGGAGAACAAGAGAGAAGAAGAATAGGCTGAAGCCCAGAGGAATTCTTCAGTAAAATTATTATTTATGACAATGTAATAATAGGTATGTTCATTGTACCTTTGTCAGAATTCATAAAGTGTACCATACCAAGAGTAATCCTAAAACAAGCTATGGGCCTGAGTAATAATGATACGCTGCTATAGGTTCACGGATTGTAACAAACATGCCACTTTGGTGGGCGACATTAGTTGGAGAGGTTGGTGGGTAGGTAGGGAGTATATGGGAATTTTCAGTACTTTCTACTCCATTTTTCTGTGAACCTAAAATTGCTCTAAAAATATTTTTTTGATAATTTAAGTTAAAATCTCAGAACTTTAAAAGTAAGCCCCTGATAAGCATTATTTCACAAGAACCTAATTGTCACAAGAATCTTACGTACAAGATATTATTTTTTATCTACAGATATAGAAAGTCTAAACAATTGTCCAAGGATGAGGGTAAGAACCAGAGTTGGGTCCCAAACCCAGACATTCCTGGCTCCCAGGTCCATGAGTTCCATGGGCCTAGGGTTTACTGAGCTCTCAAAAACCTCCTAAAGTATAGGATGACCTAATTTCTAGAAGAAGAAATAACCTAGTAAATACATAAAAAATACTATAGTGTTAATCAAGTCATTAACATCCTTTAGCTATCAAAAACAAAAATTATGATGATATATTGTTTATTTCTACAATGTAAGTTTTGTGATGACATTTCTGGTTTCATAATAAGAAAAATCGGTAAGGTTTTTGAAGGCTTTCTCTCTGGAAGTTGATTACAAAACAACACTGTGAAATGACTGATATGTTTTTAATCAATGTTTTGAAAATTTCTGAATACAGGAATTCCCAAATGCCTGCCTGTAAACTGATCGTGTCACAATCATCCAAGGAATATTTTATTGCACATACCTATTTTTGAGACCTAGATGCCCCATCCTTACCCAGTTCAGCACATCTGGGATGGAGCTCAAGAATTTACAATTTTCAAAAGCTCCCCAGGTGATTCTGATACCCAGCCAGGTTTGGGAATCACTGTCTAAGGGAACATGATTTATGTAGATCAAAAGAAGAAAGAGAGAAAGTATACCATATGGTATGTTAACTCTTCCTTTCATTTCATTTTAAAAGAGATTTGATGAGAAAAAGCTTATATAACAGTTTACAGAATACATAATTCAATACATACCTTTATCACTAAAAAGGTGCCTAAAACTTTATTCACCTTAAATATAGCAATAATTCATTTTTACCTTGGAAGGGAAGAAGTGTTTGTAAGATTTTGTAAGTGAGTAATTACAAGGAGGTGGCATTGGTGTAGAAATAGACATACAGACCAAACTAACACAGAATATAGCCAAGGACAGATGGGTCATTGTGGGTGGCCATGGGTTATTGGAAATGATGGTACTGGACAGAGGGCTATTTATGGAGTGGATGGGTTAAATCTTATACTTAGCAGGGTGTCTGGCATATACTGGACATTCAGACTTTTTTTTTTTTATGGCCAGCTCAGCCCACCCTGGGGGCAGGGCTGGCGTGGTATATAGTTCCAGGGATGGAACCATGGCCCTGCAATTGTCTAACCTTGTGAAACAAGTGCTTGAGATTGCTTGGCTATCTCACTAGCCCCAGACTTTTGCATTAAAAGAGCAATGGCTTCCTTAAACTCTCTTGAAATCTCTTCTTAGCTTTTCTCCATCATCAGAGATGTTGGTCACTTTCATTAGTCCGTCTTCCTCTTCTTTCTCCACCTTCCACCAAGTGCTCCTGTTTTCCTGGGTTGTTTCTTTCTCTGACTTTTATTTGCTTCACATTCTACTCACCTTCCAGGATAACCTCATCCATTGTCATGACTTTGACCACAAAAAGCAAAGAGAAACCTCCAAGTTTATTTTTTCCAGGGGAGGTTTTCATCCCAAATTCTACACTGATGCTTCCAAAACTTAATGGATTTGAAAAACACAATACACCTAACATATCAATTTCTTAATTATTTTGTTACCATAATCTAAATTAATTGAAATACTACCCCAAAAGTTCCCCAAGGTAGAAATTTGTCACACTTAGCTTTGTCTTCTCCCTGTCAACTGACCACCAGGTCCTATACAGTATGCCTATAACATATCTCTTGACAACTCTCCATCCCAGTTGCTCTATTCTTACCTCTCTTATTGTAACTCTCCTGTGTCATCTCTGTACTTCCTGTTTTCCTCTAGCCTAATTCATCCATCATACTCCAGTGCAGAACAGCTTCCCTTTAAATAAAGCTGATTAGGGGGCCTGCCCCTAGCTCAGTTCTTTAAGTGGCTGCTTTGACAAAGCAGTCAGGCTCAGGTTGCTGTGGTTCGATCCTCACAACTCAAGCCAGCCAAACCTGTCCTGAAGGCATTGGGAGCAAAAAAAAAAAAAAAAAAAAAAAAGCTGGTTAAACTTTAAGGGCTTTGTGGGTGGTAGGTGTGCACTAGGATCTTTTGCTCTGATACTAGGACTTGAGTACTTGACTGTGTGGAATTCACTCACTGAATGGGGTGGACACTGTTGGGCCCTCTAGCTACAGGGGTCACTGCTCTGTGGGTATGACCTGCTTTGGGTTCCTGGAGTCCCACACCCTCTCTAGGCAGACCTTCACTGACCTGGATGAAATCCACATTTCCCAGACTAGAGTCTGAGTGTCTAGAGCCATGTTTCCTTCTGGTTCTTTCTGGGTGTCTGACTTGAAGTTTTGTTCTCCTCTGGGTTAGATCCCACAACAACGTGGGCAGGGTTGCTCTCCGTGGGCACAGGAGTACTGCGTGGCCTTCCTGCACAGTGCCTGCCTCACCCAAGTGGGCAGTGCCACCTCATAGCTACTGGGCCTCCCCTGAGCCTGGGAGCCCTTGGGTGGACCAAGACACATCACAAAGACTGGTCACCCTACTGTATATGTGTGCGTGTGTGTGTGTGTATGCACACATGAATGAGTGTGTGCACAAATGTGAGCATATGTATGCTGCCCTGCATTCCTCCACATGGACCTTCTATACTACAATTGAAGATGTTGCCTCCTGTTATACATTCTGGGGAAGGCCTTAGGTGTCAATAAGTGTAAAGTTGGAAGCAAGATTTTTCTATCATGTGGAGTAGGTATTTTTTATACACTGAGGGTTGAACATTTTTTTAATACTTTCCAGAGAGAAAAACTATCTGTGTATACACATGAAAAAAATATGTATAATATATAAATACTGGAGCCCTGCCTTTCTGTGCCAGGTCCCGGCCCTGCAACACGGGCTGTGGCCTGTTCTGCTGATCACTTAGCAGTGTTGTGACTGCAAATACTAGTTTCCAGGAGACACTGAGAAACACACCACTGACCAGCTTGTACGTGACACCTGCTTCAACTCCTGCAAAATGACTCCTCCGGCTGGGACACAGGAGGATGGAAGGTGGGCAGGGTCCTGCTCAATGTGTGGGCCACCACAAGTTAAAGTTGTTACCACATTAAATTAATAAATGAAGTGGGTTAAAAAAATCTTGTCTCCTCCTTTCCTTGTGAAAGGATTGATGATTTATTAATGCCTATATAACTAAGTTCAAATTCCTTACATGGAAAATGACAATAAAGCAATGGTATCTGAGTGCCTATTTTGTAGGTGAGCAAAATGTGGTTCCAAAAGTTTCTTGTATTTCCCAAGATGATTTATGAGTATTTACAATTTGAATCCAGACTGAATTCAACCCTAAGACATGCCATGTTCATCCAGGTCTCACTTCTCTGACATAACTCGTCTGTTTATAGACCTAGTTCCTCAAACTAGCTGTTAGTTTCCCAAGAACAGGAATAATTCTTTATTCATCTCTGTATCCCCCATGTCTGGTGGAGCATTGAGACTTTGTACATCTCTGTTTTCAGAAAGTATGTAGGGCCAGGGAGATAGCTCAGTGGTGTAAGCACCTGCCTGGCAAGCGTAAGGTCCCGAGAAAATAAATAACTGGAGAAAATAGGCTTATTTTAAGAAGAAACTGATGCTGCTTTAAAATGTTTGAAAAATTGTTAGGCAGCAAGGCTTTCTCTAGAGTAGGAATCCATCATCTGAACTCCATGAATGAGCTTAGGGGATATATTTTCCTACAACAAGATTCCATAACTTTCATAAACCTCACAAAGCTGTCTTGATCCAACATTAAAATGTTTAGAACTATTTCTCTAGAGAAGACCAACAAGCAGATGTTACCCAGAAGCTAATTTCAGACCTCGGTAGGAGTGAAACTAATAATAAAATGAGCTGCTTGAAAATAAAACCTTTGCAATAAAATGTCAGAAGTTCTGCATCTCATGGAAGCAACCAAACAGTGGCCAGACGAATACACCTAAAGATAAGAAGAAACTTCCATAGACTTGTGGGGTGGCTAAAGGCTACCACAAGAAATCCGCATTCCTTCAACTTCAGAGATTTCATAATACCTGGATAAAAATCCATAATAAATTTGTTTTGTCTCTTATCACACAAAGATTTTCAAAAGTTAGAGCATCTTTTTTAGTATGTTGCCTTTGCAGTTACTTA